CGAGGCAGCCGTTTTGTCTTGTGTCATAGAAGATATATATATATATATATATACTGAACTAAATTAAAAACTTCACAATCCGAACAAACGAACCAACCAACCAACTTCATTAGATGGCGCTTGAGGCTTGAACTGCTGAACTAAATAATTGTACAATAATGGTATCTCCACAAAACGCAGTCCACAAAAACATCAAAAGAACCAAATTAGACATAATATAAAGTCGCAGTTGAGGTAGGGTCACAACCATCGTACGTCAGACGTAAAATCTCTTGCATAAATGATACTATGTGTCTTAGTTTTTGTTCTGGGAATATAAATACTGAACCAAATTAAAAACTTCACAATCCTAACATTTTAACATTTTGACCAGTTATCATTGTGGGCCCTGATTGTGTATTTAAACAGTAATGGCCACGTATTGTCTTCAGATAACACCCGTTTTTGTGCAGGTGAATCGATCAAAATCATGTGCACAGCACTATAGTGGCAAAAGTGGTTTTTCACGTGCAACTGGTCACGTGGCCATACTACCGCACGTGTTTTCAGCCATACTTGTTAGCAGTCATTAACAAAAAAAAGGAAAACACAAGAAAACAAAAGTCTTTACGGCCATTTGTCATGCCACGCCTTTCAAATGTGCAACGTGAACGTGCCATCGGCATGTTGCAGACGGGAACGTCCGTAGCTGAAGTCGCAGGGACGATGGGTTGTAGTCGACGGACTGTTTAAGATTTACTGACGCGTCTACAACAAACGGTTACCACCGCTGATCGCCCTCGGCCAGGTCGACCACGTGTGACGTCACATGCAGAGGATCGTCAGATTGTCTTACGTCACCTCCGTAACCGATTTTTGACGGCTACATCAACCAGAAATGAACTGTTTAGGGGTAGACTGAGTGCGCAAACTGTTCGAAACCGTCTGAGAACTGCTCACCTTCAAGCACGACGGCCATACTGCGGGCCGATTCTGACTCAAGTACACAGACGTCAACGTCAATTGTGGGCACAGCGACACTTACGATGGACTCAGAGGAATTGGAATGAAGTCGTCTTCAGTGATGAATCCCGATTTAATCTTCGATTTGCTGATGGTAGGGCGAGGGTGTCGAGATGCCGTCATGAACGTTACGCCAAGTGTTGTGTACAGGAAGTTGACAGATTTTGAGGCGGAAGTGTCATGGTGTGGGGTGCTTTCTGTGGCAATGCACGTTCCAGGCTTGCTTACCGCGACCAGGTACTGGCACCAGAACTTCTGCCTTTTATGGCAGCACATGGACCCGGTGTTATCTTCCAACACAAGAATGCCAGACCCCACACAGCAATTTTGACAAGGAATTTCCTTCAGAATACGAGAGTCAACGTCATGGACTGGCCGTCAATGTCTTCCGACCTCAATCCCATCGAACACGTATGGGATGCTCTTGGCAGAAGTCTGCGCACTCTCCAGAACCAACCACAGAATTTGCAAGATCTTGGCATCATTTTGCAGCAACAATGGCGTCGTCTTCCCAATCATGTGTTCACAAGCATCACAAGGTCCATGCGGAGGCGTTGTGTGGCAGTTGTCAATGCACATGGTGGCCATACACGCTACTGAACTTGTGTGCCATCAGATTATCGTGCTTGGGACTTTTAACTGTTGATGTTATTACCGAATACCGTAGGTGCTTGGAACAAATTAAGGTTACCACCGTTAATTAAAATCCTTCTTTGGACATTAATGATTAAAAATAACCTTCTCTGATACATTTGTCCGTTGTATATCATATATGGGATTACTTTTAAAAAATGTGAAGTTTTTAATTTGACTCAGTATAGTTTGACTGCATATGAAGTACTATATCCAGTGTTGTCTACATATTATATATAAGGATGAGAATTCATGAACGTCAGCTTCGTTATTATGAGGAATACAACGTTTCGGAGTATATACTTACTCATTCGGCGGATGAATGAAAGAGGAAGTATACACTCCACAACGTTGTATTCATCATAATAAAGAAGTTGAAGTCTTTTCCTTATAATGTGTATGTCGATGTATTGTGTAACCTTCTGTTTTCGTTGTTTGAGTGTGCTATGATGTATTTCTGCCACGCCAGTGTCCTAATTCTTGGAACCTTAAACTTGGTGTTAACCTTCAGTGAAACTGACATCTAGCTATCTTTAATCAATGATGATAGCCGTGTACCTATGTTCCCCTTAGGAATAGCCTCGGCAACTCTTATTGCTGTTAACATTTATGAAGGAATTGGTACCATGGTAATATGTTGTATATATAAACACAATAGAGACTCATGGTTTCATGCTAAGTATAATCTCTCCCACTGTTGAACGTCTTATTGAAATTCCTAGTTTACAGACCGCCTCCGTGGTCTTGTGGTAGAGCGTCCGCGCGGAGAGCGGAAGGTCCAGGGTTCGATCCCGGGCCGCGTCATACAAAAAGACGTTAAAAGATTGTACTTGTTGTTACCCTGTCTGGCGCTCGGCATTAAGGGGCTAAAACAAGGACTGGTCGGCTCGGAGTCAGTATACTGTGTCTGAGTGGGGTATTCATGTTAAACTGGTATCTCAATGAGCTAGCACTATAAATCGGCATCAGTCCGGACTAGTACAAGCAGCCACACACACACATACACGTGCATGCACGTCGCTATATATGTGCAATAATCTTGGACGCGACGTTAAACCCAATTCCACCTCACCTCACCTCCTAGTTTACACTGACTTTTCCCCCTTCGAGCACGTATTTCACATTGGGGAGGACAGTGAAATTACCGCATAACGTTTAAGAGACAGAAATTACCGTTAAAAGAAGTACTCTGTTGCATAGATGTATGAATTTCATGAATGCACCAATTCTTTATTTCCGACGTTCAGTTTCATGATGATAAAGATATTTTGTTTTGTCCAAATCAAAGAGCTTGATCATTTCCACATGAATATAAATGTAGTTCTGAATACGATCTCGTTCTTGACATATGCATATTTCCAACGTGTTTCTTGCTCTTGTGTTATTGTATATGTATTTATTATGAAATTGTTTTACCATATGGTGCATCGAACAGCACCTAAGGGACAAACCAGGAATAATAACCAGGGCATTTGGTTTCGAATCCATGAGTCTGGCATGCCAAAAAGACACAACTGTGTACTACTACACTGCATAGACCCGTGAAGATCTGGGGTAGAATAGATCTTCAGCAACCCATGGTTGCCGTAAAAGGCGATTATGCTTGTCGTAAAAGGCGACTAACGGGATCGAGTGGTCAGGCTCGCTGACTTGGTTGATGCATGTCATCGACCCCAATTGCGTGGATCGATGCTCATGATGTCAATCACTGAATTGTCTGGTCCAGACTCGATTATTTACAGACCGCAGTCATATAGCTGGAATATTGCTGAGTGCGACGTTAAACAACAAACCAACCAACCAACTACACTGTATATGATTTTTCGCTTTATGTGGTATATGGATTGTTTGTCATTAGTTATTTCCGGCTTTTCGCGTTGGATACTTCTTCAGTATATGAATATGTAAAAATATGTAAAAGTCACTTATAACTGTCGCACCTGCCATTCTTTCTGATACATACTTATTCACTGCTTGTGCTGTGAAACCAAATAGAAAAACGAATTTTAATGTTGAATGTTGAGGAGTCCTAACATTTCCTTGACAGTCTTTTTGGTTTTGCTATATGACGGCGGGCTGTAAAAAATCTAGTCTGGACCAGACAATCCAGTGATTGATATAATGAACATCGATCCACGCAATTGGGATCGATGATATGCTTCAACCAAGTCAGCGAGCCGGACCGGACCGCCCGATTCCGTTAGTCGCCTTTTACGACAAGCATAGTCGCCTTTTACAGCAAGGTTGGGTTGCTGAAGACCTTTTCTACCCCGTATCTTGACAGGTCCCTTTGACAGTCAAAAGATGACGTTTGACCTTAAAATTATCAATTCGGAGAAAAACCTAAACATAGTGCGTTCAGATTTAAAAGAAATTTAACAGTGTTTAGTCAATAATGAACAACCTCAAAATTATAAAAAAAATATATTTGTTCTATCATGACTAAAAAGAGTTTTTGTAAACAGCCTCGTGAAGATCAGGAAAAGAATTGGTCTTCACGTAGACATGCCTGCCGTAAGAGACGACTAACGGGATTGGGTGGGTTGATGGTATCGATTCCTAATCGAATAGATCAATTATCATGATGTCAATGAATGGATGTATCTGGTCCAGATTCGACTTTTTTTACAGACGGCCATCATTGACGGCTGAAATATTGCTGAGTGCGGCGTGAAACAAACAAACAAACAAACAAACAGTAAATACAAATCCAAAGCAAACTAATTAGCCCGTTCTATATCATAGAGAAGCAGTAAGATGTGCTATTTGTTTGTTCGAGAATAAAAAATAAATTCAAGTTTCACCAAATCTTTGCAATCGTGGTTGCGTAAATTTCAACGGAAGGCAATAATCACAGGGTCTTATGATTACAAATATCATCATATTATGCAATCGAATACCGCCCCATTCACAAACATCCGCGAGGAAAATCACACAGCCAGGAATTATTGCTCCAATTCTAATTGGAATTATGGATTACTGTGGCCCCGGTGCCACTCATGCAATGGATACCATTATTTTCATGTCAATCTTAAACTTCAGAAAATTAAACTTCCTTCCTTCCTTAAAATAAAGATGCTTGCCATGCTCTCTAGGTTATTTCAGTAAACATTAAATTTCAGAAATCGTGTATTCCTTGGATATTTAACATCTCGACAATGTCCGCTGACATTCCTCTGTCTGATTAAATTGAATGTTTCCTCTACTGGGTAACTGGCTGATCTTACCATTGAAATTGTTTGAAAGAATGTTTCAATGGATTCAACGGTTGAAACGCCGTGACGGATCTCACTCAATCATTGATTGTTATAACTACACGCATGCGTATGTGTACTACTACAATCTCATTGATTTTCGGGCCAGCAAACCTGTCTGTCATACCATGTGATCTCGCTGGGCCCACACTGCCGGGATGAATCCTGCATCTAAGCATGGATACCAAGTTGGTAACAAGCTCCATCAGGATGTCCATTTGTACCAAGGTGAGAACAATCTTTTCGGGCCAAGTTAATTACTGTTCTGTTTTCATCAAAATAAGTGTAAGTAAACTCTCTTTAGAAATCATGTCGATACTATTACAAAGAATCATAATTGTTGATGATCGCATGAAGAACTTTTTATGAATACTCCATGATGTCTTTGTTTGCTTCACCTGTTTTTCCTTGAAAGACACATGAACGCCGGTATCCGTTGCTTCAGTTCAGGAAACTGTTACAGTGTTCCGTCAATGGGCCTTGTCTGATCTGGTTGACGTCTTTGACTCCAGTAAATACCATATCATGTATGACTGTTGCAGTGAAGAGACTGATCAAACAGTAATAAACAGTGTGTACGACGTAACTCTGTCACATTTTACATAACCACTTCATATACGGTTTGTCGATAGGGATTCTACTACATTGTATGCAGCAAATGTGCACATCGTATAACAGAAACCTACCCAGGGCATCTTATATATAGCTCCTTGCAATTAACCGATATTGATAGCAACCTGATCGATATTCTATTGTCATACCTCCAATGACACGTGGCAAATATGAACTATTGTCGATACTTGTAAAACCTACCCGGGAGCACGGGCGGCCCAGTCGTCTAAGGCGCCGCGATTCGCTGTGCAGAGTTGCGTCCCTTGGGCACGCCAGAAACCTATGATTGTGGGTTCGAACCCCGGTTCGCCCCGGTTGCTCTAGGGTTTCACCGAAGTGGCAAACGTCTGAGACCTGCATCACTTCGGGCTTTCCTCCCACATTAAGCTGACACGCCGTGATATAACTGGAATACTGTTAAAAGCGGCGTTAAACCCAACTCACTCACTCACTCACTGTAAAACCTACCCCAATTAATGGAATTTGCTGATTGATCATAATTTACATCACCACAATTTTCAATTCTTTCTTAATTCTTTGACAAGGGAAGCTGACACACCTGATCTCCTGCACGGGAAGCAAGAATAAACTATTCATATTGTCAGTAGGGTTGAAGAAAGATTGATTGAATACTATAATGCTTTATCCAAGCCAGCTCGGTGTCAATATTCGGAAACATTCTGGCATGCAGTACGATATGACACACGGTGAAACTGGAAATCTATTGAACATGGTTAAACATGATACTGCCTGAAGGTCTAATTGCCAAGTATAGATGCAATGGTAAGCGACACTGACAATGGTGTACGTAATCAACAACTGTTTTGATAGCAACGACCAAGTGACTTCAATACATCTCTTCCTTATAGTGTGACAATTGGTTGGTTGGTTGGTTTGTGTTTTACACCGCACTCAGCAATATTCCAGCTATATGACGGCGGTCTGTAAATAATCCAGTGATTGATATCATAAGCAATCGATCCACGCAATTCGGATCGATGATATTCATCAACCAAGTCAGTGAGCCTGACCACCCTATCCCGTTAGTCGCCTCTTACGACAAGCATAGTCGCCTGTAATGGCAAGCATGGGTTGCTAAAGACATATTCTACCCCGGATCTTCAATAAAAATGTGTTCTGTTTATTGATTTAATGAACCTCTTAATAGAAAAATATCAAATTGTAAAATCAATAGTATTCATAGCATTAGCGACTATCCTGCGAAGTGTATCTATAAATATAAACATGCATCAACCAAGTCAGCGAGCCTGACCACCCGATCCCGTTAGTCGCCTTTTACGACAAGCATTGTCGCCTTTTACGGGAAGCATGGGTTGCTGAAGACCTATTCTACCCCGAATCTTCACGGGTCGTGGTACAACTGACAAAGACAATACCACCTGATATATATCATATCTATGGGCATGTGTATACATGTCACACAACTACAGGATCTTGAAATCAACATATCCCAATGCCTTGACATATATGATATTTGGATCTATGCACAAAGAGTGACAAGATTGTACGACCATCTTCCCGAGGCAAGAGAGTTAACTAACTTTAAAGTCATGGTTACTGAGTTGAAAAGTCATCCCTACCAAACTAGGCTGGAATTCCTGGGCTCGATCGTAGCGCCACCGGTGACTGTTACGAGTTATGTCCCTTCTATGCCTTTCCTATGGACCAATCAGATTCAACCTCTATATCACTTGCATTTGCCTCAAACAAAATGGCGGCGCCCAGTCAAGACGATCTGATAGACAATCAAGATCTATATTGTGATTGAACGAGTCTTACATCGCGAAGTGCATCAAATCACGTGAGCTCCTTGATTAAAATCATGAAAAGATTTGGAAAATATCTGTTGACAACGAGTTGGCGGTGCACGTGCTGTGCAAATCCTGCAATCGACCGAACTCTGCATGACAGTTTACGAACCGGATTTCGATTTTGTTGCGCAATTTTGATTGGACTATGCAAAGACTCCATAGTCCAACCAAAATGTAACTCCATAATACCAGCCTAGTTCGGAAGGGTGGAAACTGGACTTTTATAGTCAGTTAACTCACTTGCCTCAGGGAAGATGCTGTATGACAAGACATTGACATTTCAAGTTTCAAATAGTCACCTTTTCCTTTATGTCGAACAATATTCCGGCCCTTAATGTCCACATTTCACAACGTATGAGGCACATATAGGTTCTTACTGAGAGGAATTGTGCCCAAAAGTTGTCTTATTAGATTTCATCAGTGATGCCTCAGAATAGCTTTCAAAATTTTGTATGCCAGACATGGGGAAGATGTTTCCAAAATTGACTCATCGTCGACAAAAAAAGGTGAATGGTGCTATTCCCTATTTTAACTTGTTCCATATGTTTCCATGTTTGTTCAGGCGATAGCTCTGACTTGCCTTTGCGTGTGTTTAGGGCGGGTGCCACATTTGAAGCAGGATACGTTCACCTTTTCGAAAACACCTAGTATCATGAATAATTGAAAGTGATTCATAAATATATGCTTTTGATAAAGCAGGAATCGGACAACGTGCGCTACTTTCAGCAGATATCTCTTTCTGTAAAGGGTTTTGCCACTTTAGTGCAAAATATTATTGTAACGACAGACTAGAGGGGAACAACATGATGTTCGAGTAACCTCAGCAGCCCTGTGTTTTTGTACCCCAATGGCGGGCCATTGTTGGCCTGCGCGGCCTGTCTGTCAGAAACTCGACTATGTGTAGACCACAGTTGCATTGCTACAGCCTTTGCTAACTGCAGCATAAATCATCATTCACCCACTCACGAAACACCACAGAGACATTTAAACTACCTGTAATATGTCTCTAAATATTAATTGGATGCCAATTTGTTCAACAAACTATTGCCAAGTGTTCCAAACATTTTAGATAGTGAAGCCCGATGCTTATTTCAACAAGCATGCTGTAAATCGTTCGGAACTATAGATTAAAAATTGGTGGTTTACTGACTCAATGCAATTCCCCTACGTCCCTGAAGTTATTTTATTGTGAATGACAATATACCTCAAACTGTTAACGATATTTAGACTGGCATTACATGATACAGATTTTAATACCCTAACTGTTTGTCTGTGCCGTAATTATCCTTTATAAGAATAAACTAACATATACTATGCTCCCGAATGGTTCATTCCTCCCCGCCCTCAAGTATACGGGAATCGTTAATTTTGTAGCATGTACATGTATGTCGACATGTTGGTTTATTTGAAATTTCAAGCAACGCATTTACGGAAAAAATACATACAAATCATGTGCGTGGAATGTTGATGCTATTCTTTTCCAGCAATAAGAGATACTTCAAAATCGTCTTTATGTAGTTAATTGATGCATCTGACAGTTTCTGGTCATTAGCTGACATTATTAAACCATTCATGTGTAATCCGATGTCCTTTTTTCCTCAAAGACTTATTTTCGGATTTTCACGGTGCATACAAAAAAAGAACTGTACTCCGGAGATCGTAAATAACAGCATAATATAAAATATGTTCTGAATATGCTTATTCATGTTCAACGACATCTCAATTTAAATGTAATATGGCTGAATTCCACATTCTACATACCACAGTTTTGATTGCTTGGATGCTCATGTTCACTGGAAATATTTGGAATAGTTACATTCCGTATTTTGAATTAACCCAGTCCCCCGTGTGTTTTTTTAATCAGTGCACCGCACATAGCCACATGTGAAACGTTTGGTAGCTAAGTCAAAGCAAAATCGGAGTAGTGTGTCGGCGAATTTGCATCAAGGCTGTAGTATTTTTCAACCGTTTAATGGAATTCAATGTACAGCCGTAGCTCTGGTCGCTATCATATATTTTGTGTCCCATAGCTCAAATCTATTTGCGTCTGTACCGTGTTCCACTGACCTCGATAATCTGTTGGATGAAGGCACAGCTCTCTACAGTCACATAGTTAACACCGAAGGCTATGAGGGGTATTTAGGTCATAATCAGTTTTATCGCCCCCTTACAGGTGCTCCAAATATTGAAGCAGGGAAAACAAATTTCATAGAATCATTTCAACAAGCAATAATGATATCCCAGTCACTTTTGGTAACTTTTAATGATGTCTCTATTGCAATTTTTACGGATTTTGATTCGTATGCATTATTTGACTCTCATCAGCGGAATGGTTTGGGTCAGGCTGATCCGAATGGACAAGCAGTGTTACTTCTGTTTAGTAGTATGGATGAATTTTTATGTTACATCTTAACAGTATAATAGGCGACTATGCTTGTCGTAAGAGGCGACTAACGGGATCGGGTGGTCAGGCTTTGGTTGATGCATGGCATCGATCCCAATTGCGTGGATCGATGCTCATGATATTAATCACTGGATTGTCTGGTCCAGACTCGATTATTTACAGAACGCCGTCATATAGCTGGGATATTGCTGAGTGCGGCGTTAAACGGCAAACCAATCAATCATCATCATATGAACTCAAACCAGTCATTGTTACAAGTAAACCACATTCCACAACAGTTACCGACACTGGATAAAAAAACAGTATATAGAAAAAGACCAAGTAACACAACTCATCATGATCACAACTACTATTCTTTAAAAGAAAGAAATACAAAAAAA